ATGGAATACCCATATCGAAAACACTATTAAGAAAGCGTCCGAGAGATTTACTTTTTATCACATTTGAAGCGTGCAAAAAGTGTCTTCGAATGACCCGATCAGGTTTTATACAGCTTTTTGAAGAAAGGGAACACATATGCAATACTCTCTTTGAGAAAGTGATAAGAAATGAATTATTAAATATCTATTGAGAGTTTTCAATATCGTAGCTAGAGATTTGCCAGGCGGAAAACGGATTCTTATTATAAATATGAGAGCCCAACATATAACATTTAAGAAAGCCATCAAAACAATTTAAAGTTTAAAAGTAAATATATTTGTAACGTTTCGTCTTTAACCTAAGACATCTTCAGACAAGTGATATAAAATTACATGAGATTTTTACCAGAGTATCGGAACACTTCGGAATTTCCCCTATAACTGGAAAACCGTCATCTAGTCCAGTTTTGTCCAGCATCTTCTCCACATAACCACTGCAGGGCACACTGCCGACGTTGATGATTTTAAAATTCTTTCTTCATGTTCTGACAAACATGAACTCATGATGCATGAAAGCCTCCTCATCTCCAAACTCAAACCCTCACTTAACATTCAGGGCAGTTCAATCCCACTTAATCTTCTGTAACTTGTTTTGATAGTTTTTGTATTGTGTTTATATCCCTTCGTCTGTGCGGTTTTGTCATGTACTATCCTATACCTTCCTATATCTGTCATTAATTTACATATGTAAATAGATTTTATATATTCAAATCTCATGTAATTTTATATCACTTGTCTGAAGATGTCTTAGGTTAAACGCGAAACGTTAAAAATATATTTACTTTTAAACTTTAAATTGTTTTGATGGCTTTCTTAAATGTTATATGTTGGGCTCTCATATTTAAAAAATAAGAACCTATTGAGAGGTTTAGACTTGATCTACGTTCTGTTTACAACGGCAAAACGTCGTTTATTTCGTCCTATGTAGAACGTCTGCATTTCAGGACCCAGTGAGCTCTACCTCGAATTTAGGCTCTATAGAATTGTCCGTAAACGTAAAAACAATGTTTTCAACGTCTTATATCTCTCATTAAATTAGTATAGTTGGTAATATAGAACAACGATTTACATAACATTAATCTAGAGGAGTATTCCAACCACGTCGTCGTCGTGTTGCCCTCCTTGGTCAGAGTGAACTCGAGTGGAACACCAAATCTGCAAACAAACTCGTTGACCAGAGCTTCCTGAAATAACCCATAGTGACTAACAGGTATCGACCCCCTTATCAGAGAGAACGAATGGGCCTGTCACATCGATCAATTGAAATCCTTCCCATAGGGCTACCGACAAGATATCTCCCCAGACGTGTTTTTTTGTCGCAAACTTCGTCCTTTTTTTTCATGCGCAAAGAGCACAACGCGCACAAAACATTTTCACATCTGATTGACTATACGGCGAATAGAATCTTTTTTTTACCTGTTCCAGTGTCTTCGCCACCCGAAGTGTCACGCCACAGGATAATTATGCAGTTGCGTTAGAATCTCTTCGCGCAGACACTTAGTTGCAATGGTACAATTAGTTGCAATCTCAATTTCTTCACCGTTCTGTGGGCTCCCGTTTCCTATTCAGAACGTCCAACTTCACAATTAGTCTGTCCCACTGCGCCCAACAAATTTTGGTGACTTCACAACGACTTGTCTCCCTGACTGTGCATCTGGTAATGATTTTTATGAGCTTGTTAATAATATAGATCATGATCTTCAAAATGTCCGTAAATGCATGGATGTTACAAAATAAGCTCCAAAGTCATCCAAAAAAAGACAAAAAATATGTTTATCGGATCATCTGTTAATATTACGAATGAAATTGTTCAGACCCCAAATTTTAATGTATTTAACATCGCTTGTGTCCCGATTGAATCCAACGAACTCAAAGTTAGCACTCTCTCCACTCCAAAAATATGTTTTTATCTAAACTTCAATTATGGTTGTTAGCTTTAGAACTTTGTGTAGAGGAAACTACAACGCGTTCCAAACTATTTTCAACAATTCCAAACTACCAAATTCACAAAAAATATTCTTGATTTTGCAGAATTTGACTAATTTTTCTGCACAGTTTAACCCAAAATATTTAATAGGTATAATTTTCCTTTAATTTCAGAAGAAAAAGTGGTTTTTGAGGTAAATTTGAAAAAATATTTTCTTGCAATTTTGCAGAATGGAAAATTTACTGTTTAATTTAGTAGTAGTTTAGTAGATTTTTGCAAACTGTATATATTTCCAACTTGAAATCAATGAATATATGAAAATTTAGAGAAAAGATTAATTTTCCCTTTTCAAAGCTTATATTTTCTTCAAAATGTGAAAACTATGTTTAAAAAGAACAGGAAAAATAAAATGGTTAAATTAATACCAAAAACAACTCTGAATTTCAGACACCCATTTTACTCGCAGAGGTGCAATTATAAAAAAAATGGCAAAATGATTACAAAATGGGACTCCGAATTTCGGACACCCATTTTGTTTGCAGTAAAGTAAATAATCATGGCAAAATGATTACAAAAAGGGACTCCGAATTTCAGACACCCAATTTGCTAATGCAATGGGACATTAATAACAAAATGGCAGAATGGTTACCAAAATGGACTCCGAATTTCGGACACCCATTTTGTTCGCAATAAACCAAATAATTATGAAAAAATGGCAAAATGATTACAAAAAGGACTCCGAATTTCAGACACCCAATTTAATTTCTAATGCAATGGGACATTCATAACAAAATGGCAGAATGGTTACCAAAATGGACTCTGAATTTCGGACACCTATTTTGTTTGTAAGAAAGTAAATAATTATGAAAAATGGCAAAATGATTACAAAAAGGGACTCCGAATTTCAGACACCCAATTTGCTAATGCAATGGGACATTTATTACAAAATGGCAGAATGGTTACCAAAATGGACTCCGAATTTCGGACACCCATTTTGTTCACAATAATGTAAATAATTATGAAAAAATGGCAAAATGATGACAAAAAAGGACTCCGAATTTCAGACACCCATTTTGCTTACAATAGGGCAATTGTACGAAAAGGGCACAATGGTTGCCAAAATGGACTCCGAATTTTGGACACCCATTTTGTTTGCAACAAAGTAAATAATTATAACAAAAAGGCAAAATGATTAATACAAAAGGGAACCCAAAATTTCAGTCATTTACATCTTCTTCCAAATGGAATCATACAGTAATAGGAAATTCATTAGTAATAGGAGAGTCAACAAATCTTAAACAACTATTTTATATTGGAATAATTATTAAAAAAAGATTACCCAAAAACCTCAACAATTTGCAGAAGTGTGTGTCCACAAAGCAGTGCTATAGTAAATTGCTATATATTCATTGTATTGACAAATTCAGTAGTGCACAATATATTAAAACTTACATCACATGCATTCAGTACACCACTTGCTCTTTTGCTGCACAGTCCACGCACATAAAGAATAAAATTTCTACTTACCTAAACTACAATACACTGATATTACACGATAAACACACAACAGACCAGGTCTGATTGAAACAAATTTATAGTAAAAATTTCAACTAAAAATATATTACTAAATATATCCACTTCAGTTCATCAGATCTAATATATTTAGATCAGATCTAATATATTCAGAGATCCAGGCCACAATATAAATACGTTTGAATTTTGTTTTGTGTATTTTAAAAACATGTATGGCGAAGAAGGCGAACTTTTTTATACATAAAGTTTTTTTAAAATATTACTGAATGTTTCCGTGGTTTCGCCAAGTAGAATTCTTAGAAGGTTGTCCAATACTGAAATTATCAAGATCTGATATGACTGATATGTAAATCAGTGCAGCCATATGCATCCAATACCGGTAAGTGAGCACGAATCTTCTGCATTATAAAAAACATTTATTGATTTATAAGATTCTAGGGCAGCCCAAAAGCGTGTTGATGACAATAAATAAACAGAGTAAATACTGTATACGCAAGTGTTGCAACACGATTTTTTAGCTGCTATATTTTGTTTAGGTTATAAATTGAGTCATGGCAATTTCTAATGCTTACTGATAGATATACAGTAACAATAGTACTTATGCATTAGGCAGGGCCATAGCTAGAAGCTTAATTGGGGGGGGGGGTGCATATTCATATATTCGTCTTATGCCCGAATGATTTTTTTTTATGCTATTCTTCCTATGGATATAAACATGAGTATATGAATATACACCCCCAAATTAAGCGGTCTAGCTACAGCACTGGCATTAGGACATCAAATGCTTCCAAATACCAGAATTTCCTGCAAGAATTATCATAACACATATTGCAATTCTCTCAGGGAATGCTGCTCTTAGTGTCACACAGAAATAATTGACATCGTAAAAAATAATCAAACCATCCAACCACTTCTTTATGTCATAAATGCATGATAAACACTCAGATTCTGGGTATAACTTGTTACAGCATTCTTCAAATGCTTTTCTTATATCTAAAAAAAGAAAAAGAAAATATTCAGAAAAAAACAATTAATGGCTTGTTAATATTTATCTGTTGGCTGATTGCTTCATTTATTGGTGCAAAAAATCAATACATGCACTGTAAGCTGATGACTCACAAACAAAAAGCAAGCACATGCAGAAGCCTGAATTCACTAGTTTTTTATTTTAACCGTGATAACATTCACTAAATTTCAGATACTATGACAAAAAGTTGAACTTTGAAACAATGCTCAAAAACAATGATCTTAAATTACCCAAATATAAAGGAATTTTTTACATTGTAAAGGGCAATCTTGGTAATCAATCAATTTTGGTAATCAGCTTATCTCTATTATTTTGTTACACTGTATGTCAGCAGAATAGAACAAAATGTAATTGTATGGTAATTGTTTGTGTATACCCTAGAATTTACTATGTCAGATGATTTTTATAAGTACTTGTCTGTTAAGACTTGTCTGTTAAGACTTACCTTTACTGTATAACATCAAAAAATTTAAGATGCTTTGAAAAACAGCCAAATAATGCATCAATGTCTTCATGTGTATGGCCAACTGGTAGAAAGTTACCCTTTATCTGAAAAATTAAAGGTTACATGCACTAATGCCAATATTACTTTAATTTGTATATATACTATATGAAACATAATTGCGATTCCCGTTGTGGAAAATTACCCTCTTTGAAAAACTTGTACATTATTAGTACAAGTACAAAAAAGCACACATGATTAATTTGATCATTATTAGTCAAGCTATTTTCTAAGCAGTATTTACCGGGCTTATATAGTCTTAGGTCTGCGTACGGCCATTTTCAATTAACGACTTTAACGTTAACTTCACCCGCGCGGGCAAAGCGTTAAGGCTTCGCGCACTTCAAGATATCATTAGATATGTAGTTTGTTCCCCAGCGTAAAAGCAGTGCGTAGAACATAACATGTAAGCTAGACAACGAATTTTAAACTTTACTCTTACAAAACGATAATTATACTTGCTACATTAGTGCGAAGATTACGAGGATTTTAAAAATTTTATAAAGAAAGTAAAGTTTAGTCCAGTGATTACTATATAATATGCCAGGTGCGCATTACGGTATATGGCGGCGTCACAACATGGAACATTCTCCTACGTTTAACAGGCGATTGGGCTAAAATGTATAATCATTGACATTGTTGATTAAACGCCGCAAATTTATTATAGACTTAGAAGCAGGCTATATAGCTGAAAGTTTAAGGATGTTTCTCATATCTTATTGTTTTCTTGTTTGTATACGCGCGCGCGACGCTAGTTAAAACTTGGAAGCGCATGTAAGGCCGACGGGCGACAAATTGTATGCATATATGTATAACGAGTTAAACGATGTAATAAATAGTATAACAATGAATACATGAATGCAAATAACTTAAAATGTTACAGCGCGTCTAAAATATACAAAATTTAAATTACTATCAAACTTATGGATCGGTGAAAATCGCATCGCGTTATTGAATAGCGTCCGGTGTGTATGGATATGGCGAATTTTTTGCGACTAGCAGAAAATGCAGAACAAAATAATTATTACAACGTTTGTCGATATACAGGTGAATATATATTTCTAATCTTAATTTTATATTTAGACATGTAGAAATGTAACATATCTACCGTTTAGCGGACTTAGTGTGATTTCGTTGTCACTGCTGCTAAATCCAATTCCAACAGGCGAAGAGTACAGGCTAGGTAGCTGTGAGTGAACATGCAGGAGTCGTAAAATCCCCAGGAAAGCTCGTCACTAAATATCATCATAAAAATTGTGTAGATATAGACTATAGTTCATATACTATATTCAATTATACGGATTGCTTATTTGTGATCTCTTACCACTTTGCGGACTCCTCGTGTTCTCATGGTCACTGCTGAAGCCAATACCGATAGGCGAACTGGCTTCTATTTCTCTCTCTCAAGAGTGGACGGCGACGCCGAGGATGAAAATCCAAACCCACAAGGCGACGACATAACTACAATTATGCGTTTTAGCCTTTTACCGCTTTCTTCAAAATATTTCAGACAAGCTTATAGTTACGAAGTTAGAAGACAGCCGGTTTTCACTAAGATCAGCTTACACCCTTCTAAGTTTTCAAACGTTTTCCGTTATTATGATTTTTGTCGCTAATTAGTATAAACGTTTTTGATTGGTTGAGTTTTGAACCTTTTAACAATGAAAAATTCCTCAGTTAGCTACGGTTTTGTGTTCTCGAACGCTGATTCGTTGAGCCGCGAAGACGCTATCACCTTGTATGACGACGCTAACACCTTGTTTGACGCTATCATTTTGTTTGACGCTATAAAACCTTGCCAAAATATACTCTATTCCCTCTGGCAAATACACCAGCAGTTTTGTTCAGCAAGGTTTATTCAGCAGTCAACAAACAGTATTTAAAAAATGCCTTCTTTCAAATGGTCAATTCGAGTAAATGAGGACAAAGCGTACGTGTTTGTCAACGGTATTTGGCATTCCAAAATAATGTAGAGTATTCGCATGTTCTGCGCGCTGAAGTGGGAAAAGTTAAGAATCGCGTAGCTGTAAAGGTATGATTTTTAATTTTTTGAGTTTCTTACTGTGATTAATATAAAGATAATATCATGTATTAAAGGGTAATATATTTGGTATTATATACTCGGTAGTATTGGTCTCTACCTGCTGAAATGATATGCTGCGTGCACCAGCGACCTTTCGAGTCCTAGTTTTATATGTTTGTTGTAAGGAATTGATAACCATATTGGCACCAGTTGTATAAAAATACAGTAAAGCGATTTTTAAAATACTGTTCCCCCACTCACTATAGTCCAGCGCCTAATCGCGCTTTATGGCGTGTCATGCCTTGAAGCGCAATATCTGATATAGTTGAACTACAAGTAAAATCTCCTAGCGAGGTTCACTTAGCCCTCGCTTAGCGTTCACAAGTCATATACTAAAACGCACGCCGTGACATGTTGGTTGAAATTCAATTTTCATTATGAAGTATACACTCATCAATTAATATGCCTAAAGCCAAGGTTTAGCAATAATGGACTGTTATAGCTTATAAAACTACATATTGAGCAGTCTGACTGAAATATATAGTTTATAATTTTACAATGTTTACCAGATTTCTATCTTCAGGTTACATAGTATAAATGATAGAATTCTGACAGTATATGATAATGCTCGTGCGAGCTTTCCTAAATCAAGGAATGGCGCCTCGGCCCTCAAAAACCACCTATTTTACGACGGGGCGATAATATTATAATTCGAGTTTGAGACTATAAGTGCATGCCTTTAATTGAATCAGGGTGTATATAAGATAGGGCCATAGATTAAAAAATGAATGATAGGGCGGTGAAACGGCCATTTGGGCCCTGCGAACCCTGCGGGTCCTGCGAAGTAATTATTCATTTCTACATTTAAGCCCAACAATAACACAAATAGCCTATATATAGTCAATAGTCAATCATCTTGTCAGATAGGACATAGTCAATCATCTAGTCAGATAGTCAGATGGCTAGTCGAAGTATAAACTTTCTGAGTGGTGAAGGTCATTCTGTTCCTAGTGATTCATTCAACTACCTCAGCGCTTTGAACTTTATTTAGACAATTTCTTTTTTCTTATTTAAATGTTAATTAGGCTTTTCTTCAAGTTGACAAAAATTTCGAGAAACTTTCTTGTTAATGCAAAATTGAAACCTTTTCAATATGGGAGCTAAAAGGATGAGGTTGATTAGTTGTGTCCCACTATGAAACTTCACACTATCATTGGATCACTAGCTTTCTTCCTTCAGTTTATTCACCTATTCGCGCAGTATATTTTAAAGTAGTTTCCCGTAAAAAACATAATTAAATATTATGCAGTATAACATTCCAACTAAATTGATCTATTTTTATGACTGTTTCAGTTGCTGTTGCTGCTGCAGCTATGAAGGAAGGAAGGAATGTTTTATGTTTAACACCCAATGAAGAGGAAGCAAGGAACGTATTGCGCAAAATTTGTGTCAATTGCAAATGACAATGCATGTGTAATTCGTTGTTTTATAAATGTTTTTATAAAACTAATTAAATAATTCTATATATATGATTCTTTGCATTTGACTTTAGTATTTTGGTTGTGATGTGAAGGTCTGCAGGTAAACTAAATTTTGGCAGACTCAAGTTGCTTTAGGTTCTAGAATTCAGCTACCCAATTTCTCACTGGTCGGTTTCGCTGCATGCATTGTCGGTTTATAAATAAGATTTTGACAGAATCAAGCCGTTTTAGGTGTCTGTTGTTGAAATCCATAAAACGTTGATCACGGACTAAAATTTGGCTCTAAAATCTCATCTCTGCTTAGATGCATTTGATTTATGAATTATGCACATATGATTTAAACAAACAGTCAAACCAATATTTTTCTGAAATTGGGCTACACTCTGAAAAAGTGCTTTTTATTTCAGTACACGATCGGTGACAGTACAAACTGAAATTCAGCCTTTAATCTCGGTTCATTTAATTGTTTATATCATATTTGTGACAAACTCACGCCGTTTATGGCGTCTGAAATTTAGCTTCTCAGTTTATCGCTTGTCGGTTAACATAAGATTTTGAATTTTTCGCAGGCTGAAACCATTTTAGGTGTCTGAAATTCAGATACCTTATTCATCTCAGGTCGGTTAAAATATACGATTTTGGCAGACTCAAACCGTTTAGGTGTCTGAAATTCAGATACCTTAATTTATCTCAGGTTGGTTAATATATAAGATTTTGGCAGACTCAAACCGTTTTAGGTGTCTGAAATTCAGCTTCCAAATTTATCGCTTGTCGGTTAACATTAAAATATTTTGAATTTGGCAGACTCAAACCGTTTTAGGTGTCTGAAATTCAGACACCCTATTTATCTCAGGTCGGTTAAAATATGCCATTTTAGCAGACTCAAACCGTTTTAGGTGTCTGAAATTCAGCTTCCAAATTTATCGCTTGTCGGTTAACATTAAAATATTTTGAATTTGGCAGACTCAAACCGTTTTAGGTGTCTGAAATTCAGCTATTTATCTGTCGGTTAAATATATTTTAGCAGACTCAAACCGTTTTAGGTGTCTGAAATTCAACTTCCAAATTTATCGCTTGTCGGTTAACATTAAAATATTTTGAGTTTTGGCAGACTCAAACCATTTTAGGTGTCTGAAATTCAGACACCCTATTTATCTCAGGTCGGTTAATATACACGATCTTGGCAGATTAGAGCCGTTTTAGATGTCTGAAATTCAGCTTCCCCATTTATCATTTGTCGGTAATATATAAGATTTTGGCAAGCTCAGATTTGTTTTAGGTGTCTGAAATTCAGATACCTTATTTATCTCAGGTCGCAGTTGATAGAATGATGTCTCGTTTAGTTCAATACGTTGTTTTTGGCAGGTCCCTAAAAACTGTCTGCAAAAAACGCCAATTTGATTTCATAAATTAAAATCTTTGAACTTTTTGGTTTTTTTCATCAATTTTGCGGAAAAAAAATTAGTTTGGAATTATTGAAAATAGTTTGGAACGCGTTCTACGCTTTCTAGGCCGACTAGGCGGCTATAGTAAGTGAGAGTGACGTTTAGGAATACAGACGTAATTAAGCCTCGTAAAAAAATTTATCCCCTTTTACAAGCCCCATTAAAGTTAAAGAATCCCCTACAAAAATCTATTTCGGATTAGGAAGTTTTAAATTCCGCGATTTCTAAGGAAATAAGAATAGTTGAAATCTTTTTTTAAATGTATGCATTTAAAGACGGAAATGACAAATCAATGACAATGGACGACACTAATTGGTTCTGCAATTCTTTTTGGAATTTTCACAATTATGAAGAGCAGTGGGAACAACAGCCACAGCAAAGAATTGTAAAAAGAATTTTTCCATAAGCTTTTCTGTACTTGATATGTCTTATTCCATAAATAAAAGCTTTCACAATTGAGTTTATCCCATAAAACTCGAAGTTAAAAACCACGAACCAAATCTGTCGGCATGAATCATTGCAATAATTGTTTACCAAGGATCCGATAACTGTTGGCAAAAAACAACAGATCGCCAACACTGTAATAATAATAAAAAAATTTTTTACTTCTGTAAGGGCCTGAAATAGACGAATTATAACCTTTGTCTTGCTCGGCTGTTCGTTGTGGTTGCTGATGCCTTCGACCATTGATTCGTCAAAGATTCGTTTTCTGTTGTTTTTGAGCTACACTTAAAATTTGGAAATTCAAAAAAAATATTGCAGTAAGCGGAATATAGCCAAGAGGAACTAGTAATGGATATTCAATGCTGGGAAATAAAGCGCAAAGGCCTCTGATTCTATTGTTAAATCTCCCATATTGAACGTGAAATATAACGTAAATACAACAAGCAGTAAACCAGACTCCTGAAATAGCCAGAAATACTCGTCGACGTGTCACAATCATAGGATATTTCAGAGGTTTTTGGATGAATAAATAACGATCAACAGTTATTAAGAAAATTGTAGCCATTGAAGCAAACAGCAATGATCAGATGGTAGAACGACTTAACTTACAAAACAAGACCTGATCACTTCCAATGTTTAATATAGTCTGAATAAACTCGATGATCCATAGTGGATAAAATGTTAAACACACGAAAAGATCCGCTAATGCCAAGTTTGCTATCAAATAAGATGTCGCTGTCTTTTCTTTACACAACAAAATTGTGTATATTATAACTGTGACATTTCCCAATACTCCAATAATCATCGCAACAAACTTAAAAGCAACTGAAAAGATAAGATCGCTGCTGGAAACTGGGGCGAAAGGTGTTCAATTAGTCATTTTACACCTGTTTGCTGTTAAATCAATAGGTTTTAAAGACGAGGCAGTTTTATTAAACAGAGCAAAAAAGGAGTAAAAGTCATTATCTTAAATGATTAATTTAATGACGTGCATATCGTGCATTATAGGCTATAATTATATAAATTCACTCTAAGATGGAATTATAGTTTGATCAGTCGGGCAAACCCAGTGAAAAACCTCAAAGAGGACAATTGTGATAGTTTGTGGGATAGTTCGTCGTTATATTCGGTGATTAAACATGATTCAAATTTATCAGCGAAAATTAAATGGTTTTGCGAAGACCGTCTGAATATAGACGTACGATTAGACGTGTTTTGCAATTTCCGCTTATATTTAAAATGCATTACGTGTTAGTTACAACGCGATTAATTTT